GCATATTCTGTGGCTCTCAGTAGTTCCTCTCTGAGTTTTCAGCAGCTACATTCAGGCCTCCTTACGAATCATCGCTACCCTGTAGGCACACCACAAAATGCTTCTCACTTGGTTCCTATTACATTTGTCTCATGCATATCCCACAGAGCCATTTAATGAGAAGGGGCAAGGAAGAAGGATGCTCTTTGGACAGTGCAAATCCATACTAACTCATGTAATTGAGCTTAACAGTGAGAATAAAACCTGATTTCTCTAGTTTAAAAAAAACACAGTATTTTAAACGAGCAAGTTCTTCCTGCAGTCACTCACTTTTAACAATAGTTGCATCAGGGGATCTGGTAGGAAGGAAACATTTTTATTAATTTTTCTCTTATCTGCCAGGAAAATGTTGATTTTTTTCATTTGCGTTTGTTGCCTGCAGGTAGCAGACCAGAGAATCATATAGTAGAAATTCTTCTTTTTGATTAATTTCTTTCCATGTGTTATGTTATTTCTTATATATAATTGATTTGGGGCTTTGCTCATAGCTGTACATCTTTTTTATATCTGTACCAACTGCTGTCCTTCAATCTAGAAAGTTGAAGGAAATTACCTGAATTTTGTTAAGTTTATTAAAAATGAGATCTGTGAATACTTAAATTGAGTTTTGAAATGTTAATGCAAAAAAAGATATTAGAGAAGTTTTAATGGAGGTTTGAATTTGACCATACTCTATTGTAAAAAGAAGGGAAGGGGGTCAGGTTTTATTCAAATTGTTTCTTTAGGGGAAAAAATGAACTCTTTGATTTTATAAAAATAGAGTAATATTCTTTGCTACAATGTTTTTGGCCATTTTTATACATGGCAGTACTAACACGTCTTATATATAAATCTTAAAACAATTTAAATTCTTTAAATGTTTTTCCTTTAAAATGCCCTGCTTAGAAATCCTTCAAGTTAAGTAACTAACGTTAACAAGAAAATAACCATTTTGCTTAGAACATACATAAACCTAGCAAGCAGCAACAAATCTTACATAGCAGATTAAACACTGATATCACAGGAAAAATAAAGTCAGTTGAGGAAATACAGACAAATTTGAACTAGAATCTCTAATGACTAATTTACTCTCAGGAAGTAACTCAGGCATTGAAAAAATTCGGTTCATTAGTAAATGCCTTGTGCATTGACCCAAGAAGTTACTGACAGAGATGGCACTGAAATTCGAATATTTTGTAATCAGGTCTCAGTCCAGAGCCCCAAAAAGCTATTCTTGGTTTATTAAGATAGTAACCCTATTATGAAGAAATATGAAAGTATATTCATTACTAAAACTTATATTTTATATGATGATGTATTTCAATACTAAAATTTCCCTAGCTGGTAATAAGTACAAAAGATGTAAGGCTTGTATGTTATTTTGTTCTCTTTATGAGACTTTCATGTATTCATGTATTCATTCATTCATTCATTTATTCATTCCCTATTTACTTAACTATTTATTGAGAGTGAAGAACCTGGTAGGCATTCTTTTAGGTACTAGAATAACAGCAATGTACCAGATGGATGTCCCCAGCTCAAAGGAAGTATATAAGTAGGTAAAGGAGACAAACTTTATGCATAATAGGCATGACATATATACATATATTTTTATTTTATTTTATTTTTTTAAAAGATACTCCATTTTAACATGGCGAGGGCAGAAAAAGCTTCTTAGATATCTTAAATTCTAGTCATGCATTTTCATTATGTCCCCTGTTATATTACAAGTCTATCTCACCTATATTTGTAACTGGAAGCAGCAACTATGGTACCTTGCATTTAATACTTAATCAAATAAGAATTTTTTTCCATTTGAATTTAGCTGTAATAGTTGAAGACTAAATTAAGAAGAGACAATACTCGGCCATTTTTTTTTTAAGTCTAGACACACGGATTTAAATTATTACTATTTGTATTGTTGGAGAAAGTTTATTCCACTCAACAGCGTGAAACCATGGTCCTCTTCTGGTTATGCAAAGCAGGTACCATTTTCCCTCAGACTGCCAGAGCTTTGTTCAGGGAAGTGGGGTCAGGCAATCAGGAATTTTATCCCCAAAGTCCACATGGCTGTCACAACAAAAACATTAGGTGTTACCCAGAATATGATTACAGTACTTTAGATTTTTAAGGTACTATGAGTAAGAAATGAAAGGATTTGAACTTACCCATGAAAACTCTTATACATATGTGGCAGAGAAATATTTATTAAGTGAATTAATCAAAACATAATTTTATAAGACTTGTACAAGAAAAAAACTTACATGTTCTTTACAAATTCCAAAGCACCATGAAAATATAGCTAGTCTTACCTAACAAAACTAAATTCTGCAAACTAGTTGATAATATCCTACACAGCTATATATAACAAAGTTAAATGAGTGCAAGTAAAAGAGATGTGATTTTTTAATTATTTTGTTTAAATAGAGATAAAATAATATGAAAACAAAGGATATATAGATGTAGTCTTTTGATTCTAGAATACATATTTATTTTTCCAGAGCAAATCAAAGACAACATATTTGTTGACTTAAAAAAAGTCAACAATAATAACAAAATCACTAGCCAAATAATGAATACTAAGCAAAGGCCTCTGATGACTAATTTTCTTAATCAATTTCATGAGGCAAATTTCATGAATCAAGTGTGGTCCTTAAAAACATTCAGTATGCATTTCTTTGTCTCATATGCAACGTATTTGTCTCATATGAAAACATTCAGTGTTTATATTGCTACATGCAGGAAATGAAGGAAAATTATCAATTTACCATAAAGATTTTGGGAAAAAAATTTAGAGGAGAAAATAAAATATTTGCATCAGGTTTTCATTATTGTGTCTTTAAACTTTTTTCTTCTTAACTAATAAAATTCTAATCTAACCCTCATCTCATCAAATAGATCAATTTCTATTTTCTAATACTTCATTGTAAATAACACCCTGTCTGATCCTGCCTTACTAAAATGATTCTTTACATGTGCAATTAATTATTGATTGAACCTTCTGAAACAAAACATTTTTAAAATACTCTCGAAATGATGCCTGGCTGATCACAAGTCGTTTGTCAGCAAACAGTGGTTCCCCAGTGTCATCCCTGGATTAGCAACATTAGCATCACCTGAAAACATTGTTAGAAATTCAAAATTCATTATCTGAATCACCACAGATCTACTGTAATTTCAGAAGCAGTGAGGGCGGGGCGCACCGATTTATGTTTTAACAAACCCTGCAGGTGATTCCCACATATGCTCATATTTGAGAATAACTGTGCAGGAATATAAATGTTCTATAGAAGTTACTTTGTAACAGCATAAATTATATTTATTATTGTCACTTATGAGAAACCTTACAATATTCTGCAATTAATACAGGCTCCATGCCTCAACTATGGATAGACACCTGTACCGCAGTTGATGGTCTGTGGTCAAACTACTTTTCACCTGGAAAACACCATGTAGTCACTCCTGATCAGCGGCAGGTTAGGTTTACTTATTTAGTGCCAGCTAATCATTCTCCAAAATAATGCCAGAGTCCAGCAATCCCTCAAATCACATTATTTCAGGTGATTCTGGAATGGCATGGAATACACTGTAGCCACTTCAGGCTGGCCCCAAATGTCATTTTTCCATACCCTTTCAGGAGTCCTGGATGGCACAAACAATTGATCAGGAAGCTGTTTTACTAAAGAACCTTCACACAAGCCTGGCTACAGTATAGAAAGAAAGCCTTTATGCAAATGGGACAGCATCTCACAGTAAGGAAAGAAAGTCTTTCTATTGTTACAAATGGGACAGCATCTCGTTTTTAAAATTACATTCTGCTGTTTGAGTCTCTTGAAGACCAAGAGCTTCAAACAATATGGGGTTCTCCTCTTCCTCCTCTTTTCATGAGACAGGAAGGGTACTCTGCCCAGCCAGAGAGAGCTGGCCCATCAATCAGTGACAATCAGTGTGAAGCCGGAGGTATCCGCCAGATCACACGTCCGTTCCTCCCCTCATGATCCCTGGCTCCAACCCCTTATTGTAATCAGGCAGGGGTACAAACCAAGTGCGCTCTGTGGGATTTTAGGGAGCAGCCCTATGGCCGACCTTCACTGTTAACCCACATATGCGGCTCACAAAACTGCATGTCCTGGCACCACCACCTTGAACCGAATAGTCAAGGTGAGGGCAACTACAGAAATCCGTTCCCTTTTTCACAAATAGGTGTGGCCTCCTGCTCCTGGAATGCTGCCAATTTGGCCCTCTGTTTGGGTCTGACACAGTAAATAATGATGACTACTCTTCTAAGCCTGTACAGTCCTGCACACATGGGCTTCGCACAGCCAGAAAAAAAAGTCTTCTCACAAAACAAAGCATTGTTGTGGGTCCCGTGTATTGGATGGAATCAAAACTTTAGAAGAATTTGCCTAATTTCACAGGTGTATGTGTAATTTTTCCAAATTTCCATTCTGGCAGATCTCTTTCATCTCTGAGGGAATGAAAACAAATCTACAGTGGCAAAACCCTAACAAGACGAAGTGGGCTTTGTGAGTGGAGGTAAAACCAAAATCAACATGTTCACTCCACTCTAATTGTGACATGCTCTGGGACGTGCCTCAAAAGGGCACTTTATAACAAGTGTTCTATGTTGTCATTAAACCGCCATAAAGGTACCTCGATTCAGTACTTGTGAACATCTCCAGAGGCCCCAGAAAGCACTTACCCATAAAACATATCTTCAAAAAGACTTTTACTTTATACTAGCACATTAAAAGAGTGTCTAAACACACCGAGGCACTCGCTATAAGCTGTATTTTTAAGAGCATGTACTCTCGGGAGACTTAGGAGAGTTGGTAGGGTACCCGTGATAACAAAGCTGGCTTATCCACACTGCTCCAGCCCTCACAACCTGGAGGACGCATCTAAGGGCACTCTTAAAAAGAAAACGTCCTCTGCCTTCTTGGCAACAAAGCCTACAATAGAATAAAAGGAAGCACCTTTACAGGCAGAAGTTATAGGGTAAGCCAGGAGGTGGAGGGCTCACATAAATGCACTGCCCGGTGCTGCTGCCGCACTCCAGTGTGTGCATCGTAAACACTGCAACAGCCTCGATGAGGCACATTCCTACACACTGCTGGCATCAGTGTCTACATGGGAGTCAAAACAGGTTAGGTATCTTCTTTCCAAATGAAATAGAATTTCATTTTCTCCTTTAAACTGTAGGAGTAAACATGCATTTACTAACTCTATTTAAGGTGGTAAGTGATGAGGGTCTTATTTCAATGTTGGTGACATAGCTATACATAATGAAAACCTAGAAAGGGTCTCACCCCAACCACCCTCTCATTTGAAACAAAGAAATACACATCCCTTCCCTCCAAATAGAAAACCAGCATATCGGGCTTCTCACGATTTACCTAATATTCAGTGCATGGCAATAAACACAGGGAAATTTTCATCTTAAGACTATTTCATTCCCATTGCTCTTAAATCCATGCTTTCTAACTTGCATAAACAAATACATCTAGGGGCCGGCTGAGTGGCGCGATGGTTAAGAACTAGCTTGGGATGCCAGAGGGCCCCGGTTCGGATCCCACATATGAGGGCTGGTGACACTGCCCTCCACAGCTAAGATGCTGAACAACAGCTCAACCTGGAGCTGGGCTGCCGTGAGTCGCCGGCGATGGT